TTTATAGTGGAATAGTGTACCACAACTCCAGTGTCTGCCAGATCTTTCTGGAGGGATCGTGCAGTCAAATGTGGGTTTTGAATTGTTTTTCTTACAATCCTGCGAGCTGTTCTGTCTGATATTTTTCTTGGTCTTCCAGATCTTGCTTTAACTTCCACTGTTCCTGATGACTGCCATTTCTTAATTACATTCCGAAGAGGATATTGACATCTGAAAACGCTTTGCTATCTTCTTATAGCCTTCTCCAGCTTTGTGAGCGTCAACTATTTTCAGTTTCAGTTTTCTAGACAACTGCTTAGAAGAACCCATGGTGCTGATTTGTTGGGGCAAGGTCAGATGAGTCTGGGCATTTAAAACCTTTGCAATTGACATCACCTGGTCTTCCCAGACGATGATTGAGAACAATCCATGACACTGGCAGGTCTCAGCTTTGCAAAGGGGGCAGTGCATGCTATAAATTCTGCAGGGTGCCCAAACTTTTGCAGACGCCATTTTTTTTGTTTTCTGTTATTTTGAAAGTGTAAATGATGGAAATAAAATCTAACTTTTGTTGACATAAGAATGTCTAATCTGTAATTTGATGCCTTTTGGAGATTTTTTCCATCTTTCCCTTGGCTTCTTTATGCACATTAATACAAATTTTTAGCTGGGGTGCCCAAACTCTCGATCCCCACTGTATATGTATGTATATTATTATATATATATATATATATATTATATATATATATATATATATATATATATTATATATATATATATAATATATATATATATATATATAAATATATATATATATATACACACACACCACATATACATATATACAGTCATGGCCGAAATTGTTGGCACCCTTGATATTTTTCCTGAAATCAAGTATTTCACACAAAAAAGGGAATTTGCATTAACACATGTTTTGGCTATACACATGTTTATTCCCTTTGTATGTATTGGAACAAATATAAAACAGGGCAGAAAAGCAAACTTATGACATAATGTCACACAAAACCCAAAAATGGGCTGGACAAAAGTATTGGCACCCTTAACTTAATATTTGGTTGCACAACCCCTTTGGAAAACATAACTGAAATCAGTCGCTTCCTATAACCATCAATAAGCTTCTGACACCTCTCACCCGGAATTTTGACCACTCTTCCTTTGCAAACAGCTCCAGGTCTCTCTTATTGGACAAAAGGACTAAAACCTTTTCCCAACAGCAATTTTAAGATCTCTCCACAGGTGTTCAATGGGATTTAGATCTGGGCTCATTGCTGGCCACTTCAGAACTCTCCAGCGCTCTTTGCCATCCATTTCTGAGTGCTTTTTGACGTATGTTTGGGGTCATTGTCCTGCTGGAAGACCCAGGATCTTGGACGCAAACCCAGCTTTCTGACACTAGGGCCCTACAGTGCGACCCAAAATCCTTTGGTAATCCTCAGATTTCATGATGCCTTGCACACAGTCAAGGCACCCAGTGCCAGAGGCAGCAAAACAACCCCAAACCATCATTGAACCTCCACCATATTTTACCGTAGGTAACTGTGTTTTGTTCTTTGTAGGCCTCATTCCGTTTTCGGTAAACAGTAGAATGATGTGCTTTACCGAAAAGCTCCTATCTTGGTCTCAATGTCCACAAGACGTTTTCCCAGAAGGCTTTTGGCTTACTGTGTGTACATTTTGGCAAACTGTAGTCTTGCTTTTTTATGTCTCTGTGTCAGCAGTGGGGTCCTCCTGGGTCTCTGCCATAGCGTTTCATTTCATTTAAATGTCGACGGATAGTTCGCGCTGACACTGATGCTCCCTGAGCCTGCAGGACAGCTTGGGTCTTTGGAACATGTTTGGGGCTGCTTATCCACCATCCGGACTATTCTGCGTTGCAATCTTTCATCAATTTTCCTCATCCGTCCACGACCAGGGAGATTAGCTACAGTGCCATGGGTTGCAAAACTTCTTGATAATGTTGCGCACTGTGGACAAAGGCAAATCTAGTTCTCTGGAGATGGACTTGTAACCTATCCTTGAGATTGTTGATATTTTGCCAATTTTGGTTCTCAGGTCCTCAGACAGTTCTCGTCTCCTCTTTCTGTTGTCCATGCTTAGTGTGGCACAGACAGACACACAATGCAAAGGTTAAGTGAACGGTCCTCTCCTTTTTATCTGCTTTCAGGTGTGATTTCTATATTGCCCACACCTGTTACTTGCCCCAGGTGAGTTTACAGGAGCATCACATGCTTGTAACATTCTTATTTATCCGCAGTTGTGAAAGGGTGCCAATACTTTTGTCCAGCCCATTTTTTGGAGGTTTGTGTGACATTATGTCGAATTTTGCTTTCTTTCCTCATTTTTTTTTTGTTTTGTCCCAATACACACAAAGGGAATACGTGAAACATAGAGATACTGTGTATAGCAAAACATGTGTTAAGATTGCAATACGTTTGTTTTCCAGTGAGAAATAAATGATTTCCTGGAGAAATATCAAGGGTGCCAACAATTTCGGCCATGACTGTATATCAGATCCCAATAGGGAAAAAAATCTCCTACCTGGAAGATCTCTATTTTACTGATATGGACTGGGTAAAGTGTTAATAATATAAGGACGCCCCATCGTTTGATGGAAATGAAAAAAATGATCGACCTACAGAGGACTGAATTCAAAGACACCCCAAAAATCAAAGTGAAAAAATTATGCAGCAAGCAAGTCCATTTTGCTGAAATTTCATTGCAGCAACTCATAATGGTCCTCAGTAGTTTGTATGGCCCTCACGTGGTGTGGACTGGCCCCAGAGTACTGTCTCTTGAGTGCAGCACACCTGTCTCCTAACAAGAGATCTGAATTATGACCAGGTCCTTCATTTTAAAAAGAAACCAGCAACTTCAACCAGTTGGTCTTCTGGAAGGCCTGGACACTGGGTTGGAGATTTCTTTCCTCTGAAAATTCATGGAAATCTCCGAACTCCAGAATCCAATCAGGTAAAAAACATGGCTCATCCATGATACAAAGCTTTGCAGCCTACTCCTGTACGGCTGCCTATGCAGCTTAGGGGGAGTGGGTGGAGGGCGGCAAAAATGCGGTTCAGCCACTTCTTACATCCCTCACCCCCCCCATCGCAAATAAAAAACAAGCATAAAAGAATCCTAATCCTATATAAAGCCCTTTTCATTAAACAATAAAATGTTTGAAGAGGAAGTGGGAAAAACATGAACACATGAATGCTGAATACAACAGGTTGCTATAAGAAAGGCAGTCATTTTTCCAATATTAACGGTTTACAGATCTGACCTTCTGCTGGCCAGTCTGTCCACATCAACGAACACCCAGACCTCCAGATCACCATGGCAAATACATTCTGTTCCCGGAGAGGAGTTATATTTGGAAGGCAGGAGGGAGAGGGCAGCCGGGGCCCGCTAAGACATTAATAGCTCCTGTCAATCCCTCTCATGTGGCGGTAAAATGCCTCTTATTCTGTAATTGCAGAAATCCCGGAGGAATCGACAAATACCACGTTTCTGTTGCTCGTTTAACCTACAAATGGGATTAAAGGCCATTCTTTTGAGTACGCTGGACACAAATGGCTGACAGCATGAAATCCAGGCAGAGAACAGGTTCAGGCTGTGTCCACCGCCTACACACACAGCCGGACGCTTGTCCGTTTACCACAATGTCATCCCTAAGACTCAGTGTATTGGTTAACCATTGCATCGCCACACATCTAGGTCTAAAAAGAAAAAAAAAAAAAAACTAAAATTGGAATATTGATTGTCTAGTTCCAAGCTCATTGAGAGCCTATTCACACTTGCATGATAAAACACTTGACCATGCATTAGGGCAATGCATGCCAATGCACCTGCTCTATGTGCAATGGGTTGCACTATTCATTGTGTGAGAGGGGTTAAGGGTCACCCAGCCTTCTCATTCAGGCAGATTGAGGGGATCCAGGGTGCTTGTGCCAGAAGAAACTGTATTTTCAGTATCCTCAGAAATTGGTAAACCCTGGTGTGGGTCCTGAAGGCTAGAGGCTTCGCAGAGTCTTGAGGAAAGTGGTTACTCACAGTTCATTCATGATTTAGCAAGGGGGGCAATTACTTCTTCACATAGGGCTAGGCAGATCTGGACAGCTTTTTTCCCTTGATAAATAAAATCATTTAAAAATGACATTTTGTATTTATTCAGGTTATGTTTGTATCTGAATCTGTTAATTGTGACAAATATGCAAAAAAAAAAAAACATTTTCACAGTACTGTATGTGTGGTGGCAAAAGGGTGGGCTTTAACATCCCACACGCTGCGCATATGTGTAACTGAGCTGTTGAAGCCAGTGTTTGGTTCTACTAACGATCAACAGCTGGTGGGACTGGCTCCAGACCATGTGACACTGTGCCAGCCAATCATACCTTACCATACCTGGATGATGCCCCTGGAGGTTGGAATTATCTGTAGCAGACACTGCTACTCCAGATTCTGATTGCTGATTACTTCTGATTGCTTTGGGTCCCATGCTGAGGAGCTGCACTGTGGTATTGTGAACACAGGTGGTTAGCCACTCGGGCCAGGCACCATTCAGAGAATGCTTTGCATTTTCGGAATGAATGCAACACATTCTCTGACTGGATGAAGTAAAGAGTGTGACGTCACCCACCTCATCTGCATTTTCTGAATGAATGCAAAGCATTCTCTGATTGGATGAGGTGTAGATGAGGTGGGTGACGTCGCACTCTTTACTTCATCCAGTCAGAGAATGAGTTGCATTCATTCCGAAAATGCAAAGCATTCTCTGAATAGTTCCCCTGCCCATAGCTCCAAGCTGGATCAATGTAACCATGTAAAAAAATGTCCATACCTGGAATTTTTCTTTAGAAGTAAATTAAGTAAAAAAAGTTACCTGCAGGTAAATCGATCACATAAAATGTGAAGAACTGTGTAGTGTATGCGGCCATCTACCTGAGGTTCTGCTAGAACAGATACACAAAAAAAAAAATAAAAAATCAGTACATACACACACTCACCCTTAGCTCAGCTGGCACCGCGCAGTCTGCCAACATCGCCAAATCTTCCTGCAGACGTCCATTTCCAGATGGTTCCACAGTCAGAACTTTTACACATGTTCCCGGCTTGGAAGACACTGTGGGGTGAACACAACTTCACTTTAGATTTGTTTTTACACGCTACACAATAAAACCCCAGGGAGATAAAACTTTGGATAAACGGACCCTTTAGCTACTTCCCGCCCAGTGATGTACCCATAAGTTGCTGGATTTCCAGTGCTTATACGGGATGATGCCTGCAGCCGCAGGATACCTCACTTTGGAGGGATTCCCTCTCACTTCTTGTTTTGGCTATTGGACAGGAAGTGAAGGAAGATCTCCCCAATGTGCAAAAAAAAAACAAAAAACAAAAAAAAACTGATGGCAAAACAAAAACACAACAGGGGTTATAACCCTCATCTAATCTATACAAAATGAAAATATTGCCTTTAGTATTATTTATTTTCATTAGGTGTAAAGTGCCTGTGCTGGCTGAGACTTTTTATGATCCGGAGAAAACTTACCAAATTCATAGACCTTTTTACATTTCTCCTCCAGCTCCTCAATGAGGTCCTGCAGCCGACATTGCTTAGCCAACCTCTTGCAATCCTCCACATGCTCCACATTGATGTCCATGCGACCTGGTCAGACACAGAGAAATGGAGAAGCACTAAGGAGTGGCGCCACCTCTAGGCATCACTAAATGCGAAGAGTTAATTGCAATGCACATTATAAAAGCATTTTTAAAGTGTATTTCCACCTTTGCAGCCAAATTGGCAAAAAAAAAACCCTTCTTTATATTTGTTACATGGTACCATACATTTAGCAGAACTTTGAATTTTTTTGCCTTCCTCTGGATCAACTGTGGGTACAGGATTAAAATCTTTTTTTTGTTCTATGGTTGAACTGGATGGACTTTTGTCTTTTTTCAGCTAAACTATGTAACTAAATAAAAAAAAAAAAAAAAAAAAAAAAAAATTGTATACACACTCCATGGCCACCTGCTTGCTGAAATAACATACTTAGGTTTCCTAATGTTGAAGTATTACTAAAACCCAGGACCCCGCATTCACTATATCCGGTCTCCCCGGACCCCGCATTCACTATATCCGGTCTCCCGGACCCCGCATTCACTATAGCCGGTCTCCCCGGACCCCGCATTCACTATAGCCGGTCTCCCCGGACCCGCATTCACTATAGCCGGTCTCCCCGGACCCCGCATTCACTATAGCCGGTCTCCCCGGACCCCGCATTCACTATAGCCGGTCTCCCCGGACCCCGCATTCACTATAGCCGGTCTCCCCGGACCCCGCATTCACTATAGCGGTCTCCCCGGACCCCGCATTCACTATATCCGGTCTCCCCGGACCCCGCATTCACTATATCCGGTCTCCCCCGGACCCCGCATTCACTATATCCGGTCTCCCCGGACCCCGCATTCACTATAGCCGGTCTCCCCGGACCCCGCATTCACTATATCCGGTCTCCCCGGACCCCGCATTCACTATATCCGGTCTCCCCGGACCCCGCATTCACTATATCCGGTCTCCCCGGAACCCGCATTCACTATTATCCGGTCTCCCCGGAACCCGCATTCACTATAGCCGGTCTCCCCGGACCCCGCATTCACTATAGCCGGTCTCCCCGGACCCCGCATTCACTATAGCCGGTCTCCCCGGACCCCGCATTCACTATAGCCGGTCTCCCCGGACCCCGCATTCACTATAGCCGGTCTCCCCGGACCCCGCATTCACTATAGCCGGTCTCCCCGGACCCCGCATTCACTATAGCCGGTCTCCCCGGACCCCGCATTCACTATAGCCGGTCTCCCCGGACCCCGCATTCACTATAGCCGGTCTCCCCGGACCCCGCATTCACTATAGCCGGTCTCCCCGGACCCCGCATTCACTATAGCCGGTCTCCCCGGACCCCGCATTCACTATATCCGGTCTCCCCGGACTCCGCATTCACTATATCCGGTCTCCCCGGACCCCGCATTCACTATATCCGGTCTCCCCGGACCCGCATTCACTATATCCGGTCTCCCCGGACCCCGCATTCACTATATCCGGTCTCCCCGGACCCCGCATTCACTATATCCGGTCTCCCCGGACCCCGCATTCACTATATCCGGTCTCCCCGGAACCCGCATTCACTATAATCCGGTCTCCCCGGAACCCGCATTCACTATAGCCGGTCTCCCCGGACCCCGCATTCACTATAGCCGGTCTCCCCGGACCCCGCATTCACTATAGCCGGTCTCCCCGGACCCCGCATTCACTATAGCCGGTCTCCCCGGAACCCGCATTCACTATAGCCAGTCTCCCCGGACCCCGCATTCACTATAGCCGGTCTCCCCGGACCCCGCATTCACTATAGCCGGTCTCCCCGGAACCCGCATTCACTATAGCCGGTCTCCCCGGACCCCGCATTCACTATAGCCGGTCTCCCCGGACCCCGCATTCACTATAGCCGGTCTCCCCGGAACCCGCATTCACTATATCCGGTCTCCCCGGAACCCGCATTCACTATATCCGCTCTCCCCGGACCCTGCATTCACTATATCCAGTCTCCCCGGACCCTGCATTCACTATATCCAGTCTCCCTGGACCCCGCATTCAATATATCTGGTCTCCCACAGTACACACAACATGAAAATGCTATTATTTTAGTAAATATAAACTGCTCATCAGCAGTATATAGTCCTGACTTCTATCAGTGCCCAACTGGGCACTGGCTTAAGCTTGTAGGAGGAATTTTTATTGTGCTCCGATTGTCCTATGAGGCTGCATAACCCTTGATCCTCTGTCTGGACAGTGCTGATTGGCCCTGTGCTGATCACATGCACTCTCCCAAAGAAAAAAAAACAAAAAAAAACAAAACACAAAACTCTCTAGCAATACACACCAACCGGAGCATGTGCAGAGTGACTCCTAGGGCTCTGTACTATCAGCAGACAGAGTGAGGACAACAGAAAAAAGGAGAGGATCAGAGAAGACAGGATGAAAGCCTTTTTTACCCAATGCAGAGGATTACCCCTTAGGTTCCACAGGGAGTAGATTTATTTCCCCCCCCATACAGTGCATGGAGAAAAAAAAAAATTTGCACTGAGTTCAGTTTTAAACTGTTCAGAGACTTACAGCCCAGTTTATACCGGTTTTGTTTTGGACGCTTTTTTGCGTTACAGTGCATTTGATTTGATTCTACCAGAAATCTTGTGAGATAACTGCCTATGTTGACTTATCAGTTGTCACTTTTTGTTGTTTGTGAGACTACAGGAGCCCTCTCTTTATGTAAAGGAGATGAGGAGAGGAACGGCGTTCTGCACACCTGCCTTACAGTGACTATGCTGCTCTTTATTAGAGTACAGAAATGGGGCTTTACACCCTGGAAAAGGAATTGTGTTAGTGGCAGGATCACCAGGTAAAAAAAAAAAAAAGGCAAAGAAGAAAACTAAAGCAGACACCACATCTCAAGCCTGGCAAGCTGCAATACATTACTGGTTTGTTCTCGGCTTTAGACAGACTTTAAATTTGAGCTCTGGGAAAAGCAAAATATTGTCTCAATCCATTCATCATGTTCTTCCTTGAATCTTGATGAGGTTTGTGTATTTCTTCCAGATCTGTGCAGTAATCCAGTGTAAGACTTTACCTCTGTAATAAAGACCGCTCACTGCTGCTCTGTCTCCTTGTGCAGGGTAACTGGTCTTGTCTCCGCCCCCCTCCTGCAGTGGGTGGGATGCACTGGGTCCCTCCCACATCCCTGCCTTCTGCACAGGTCATTTATAGCACAGTGATGTCACTGCTATTTTTACATGGTAATAATCTGGGTTTGCAAAGGCATTTGGTGCAAACAGTGGATTTATATCCTTTGTGGCTATTGAGGAATTATATTTTAAATGAAAAATTTTTCAGGTCCAGAGTTTAGGTTTAAGATCAACATCCACCAAGAAATACGCTCGGTCACCTACCTGTGTACAGGTACTGAAGAATGGAGCCAAAAGCTGCCGGATTTATCTGAAATTAAAAAAGACATTTTAGAATACATTAAAGCACCACCTGCTTCTGGTCATTTTCCCAATACTGAAAGTAATGCACGTTCAACATTTTATACCTAATGTACAATGAAAACTGCCATCAGCTTCCAACAACCTTGAATGTTTCCAGAAAACACGGGGCAGGGAGTGATTTGTATGAAAAAACAGGTAAAGCAACCGTTTACAATGTTCTGACCCGTTTACACCTCAAAGCAAAGCGGTCAGCTAGTTTAGGTATGAAACGTAAAGCCTTGTATGAGAGCGAGCAACACAAAGCCGGTATTCTTATTAGACAGGAAAAAGGGACTTCCAATAATAAGTGAAGAAAAAGTGAAATACAAGAAATTAAAGAAGAATTCCAGGTTACATCGGACCAATGGAACTATGTATATACCGTACTAGTAGGATCCGCCAGAGCGAGGGCAGCGACCTCAAATGACTGAGATTCGATGAATAAAGTGACTAGGGTCATGTACATTACAGCCCCCCCTACAGATCACAATCCTGTTCTCACATCAGTGTCATCAGCCCCCCCTACATATCACAATCCTGCTCTCACATCAGTGTCATAAGCCCCCCCCACATATCACAATCCTGCTCTCACATCAGTGTCAGCAGCCCCCCCCCCCCCCCCACATATCACAATCCTGCTCTCACATCAGTGTCAGCAGCCCCCCCCCCCCCCCCACATATCCAATCCCCCCATCAGTGTCATCTACATATCACAATCCTGCTCTCACATCAGTGTCATCAGCCCCCCCCCCCCCCCCTACATATCAATCACAGTCCCCCCTTCACATCACTTTCCATAGTAGTGTACTTTGTTGTACACTACTATGTAGTGTAATGTTGTAGCATCATCTGCTCCCACCTTCCCCTTCCCCTACAGTAGTGCCCTCTGCCCTCTTGCACATCACCCCCCCCCCCCCCCCCCCCATCTTCCACATACACAAAATAGTGCTCTCTGCCTACCCCCCCCCACACACACACATACAAACAATAGTGCCCTCTGCCCACACACAACACACACACACACACACACACTAGTGCCCCGTGCCACACTCCCACCCACACTAGTGCCCTCTGTCCCCTCTACCCTGCCACAGACACAATGCCCTCTGTCCCCCCCCCCAAACACACTAGTGCCACACACACACACTAGTGCCCTCTATCCCCCCTACAGACACAATAATGCCCTCTGCGCGCGCCCCCCCCCCCCCCCACACACACACACACACACTAGTGCCCTCTATCCCCCCTACAGACACAATAATGCCCTCTGCGCGCGCCCCCCCCCCCCCCCACACACACACACACACACACACACTAGTGCCCTCTATCCCCCCGTACCCCGCTACAGACACAATAATGCCCTCTGTCCCCCCCCCCCCCCCCCCCCCCCCACACACACACACACACACACACACACACACACACACACACACTAGTGCCCTCTGCCCCCCCCCCCCCTACCCCGCCACACTCACACTAGTGCCCTCTGCACCGCCCACACACAGACACCAGTGCCCTCTATCCCCCTACCCCGCCACAGACACAATAATGCCCTCTGCCCCCCCCCCCCCACACACACACACACACACACACACACACACACACAAAATAGTGCCCTCTGTCCCCCCCCACACAAACAATAGTGCCCCCTGATCTACCCCCCCTCCCCCCCCCACACAGACACTAGTGTACTCTGTCACCCCTACACTTCCACAGACACAATAGTGCCCTCCCACACAAACAATAGTACCCCTCTGCCCCCCCCAAACACACTAGTGCCATACACACACACACACACACACACACACACACACACACAAACACACTAGTGCCCTCTGCGCGCCCCCCCCCCCCCCACACACACTAGTGCCCTCTGTCCCCCCTACCCTGCCACAGACAATAGTGCCCTCTGCCCCCCTCCCCCCCCAAACACACTAGTGCCCTCTGCCCCCCCTACCCTGCCACACATACATACGTGCCCCTCTGCCCCCCCTACCCCGCCACTCGCACACACTAGTGCCCTCTGTGCCACACACACAAACACACTAGTGCCCTCTATCCCCCATACCCCGCCACAGACACAATAATGCCCTCTGCCCCCCACACAAATAGTGCCCTCTGCGACACCCCCCCCCCCCCCACACACAAACACTAGTGCCCTCTGTCTCCCCTACCCCGCCAGACACAATAGTGCCCTCTGCCGCCCCCCCCCCCCCAAACACACTAGTGTCACACATACACTAGTGCCCTCTGCCCCCCCTACCCCGCCACACACACGTGCCCTCTGCCCCACCCCCACCCCGCCACTCGCACACACTAGTGCCCTCTGTGCCACACACACACTAGTGGCCTGTATCCCCCCTACCCTGCCACAGACACAATAATGCCTCTCTGCCCCCCCCCCCACACATACACACACACTAGTGCCCTCTGTTCCCCCCAAACACACTAGTGCCCCACACACACATGCTCTCTGCTCCCCCTACCCCGCCACACACACTAGTGCCTTTTGCCTCCCCTACCCTGCCTGCCACACACACACATACACACGTGCCCTCTGCGCCACCCACACAAACTAGTGCCCTCTAACCCCCCTACCCCGCCACAGACACAATAATACCCTCTGCCCCCAACACAAACAATAGTGCCCTCTGCTCCCCCCCCCCCCCCACACACACACACACACACACACACACAAATAGTGCCCCCTCACATGCACACACTAGTGCTCTCTGCCCCCTCCCCACACACACTCAACTAGTGCTTCTAAATCACACTACCACTGCGGTCCGGATGGGACAGTGACTCAGTCCAGATCCAGACAGCGTTCCACCATTTAGTGATTCCTGCTCTAGAAGCTTGAATCACTGTAGAAGTACCATTCCTCCATTCCTCCATGCTAGCTTCTTGGTCCTATGCCGATCAGCTATCCTGCTGCATTGTGAACACGGGAGGTCATCCGCTCACCATGGGCGCCAGTCAGAGAATGCTTTGCATTCCAAATGAATGCAAAGCATTCTCTGACTGGAGGAGGTGGAAAAAATCAGTAAGCCAATCACACAAACAGGAAAAGACATTTTTGTACTATGCACAGAACACCTCTAGGTCGCTATTGAAGTTTACGGAAAATGAAAGGTAACATTAAACTACAATATGGGATGGATACACAATGGGGGTTGGTTTACGGAGGGTGCAAAATCTGGTGCAGCTCAGCATAGAAACCAATCAGCTTCCAGGTTTTATTGCCAAAGTTTTAACTGAACAAGCTGAACTTATAAGCGGATTGGCTACCATGCACAGCTGCACCAGATTCTGAGAGCACCAGATTTAGTAGATCCACCCCAGTATGTCCTTTTTTGAAATTTGGGTTTTTTTTCCCCCCACAAAAGTGGAGTCACCCTTTGACTCTAGGCAAAGACGCATGGTCCCAGTGTGGGAGCTTCATGATAGAAACTGCTACTGTTTCACGACAGAACCCATCTGGATGGATTTTTATGAGATAACATGGCCAGCAATGTAAAACCAGGAAAAACATTTAAAATTCATATAGAGTGGGAATATAATACATAACTATGTGTACAGGGTAAACGAAAAGGTTTTTTTAAAACATTAACATTTTAATAAAAAAAAAAAATAATAATAATTGCATTCTAATCACTTCGTGTCCATATGACGTACTAGTATGTAGCTCCGCTGGATTATTTTTACAACCAATTTCAATTTGATCAGCTGCTTTTGGAGAAGAGATATGGGGTTTAATAGACCCCCACCTCTCCAGAAGAGGACCTGTCACAGCCCATATCACAAGGGACGTTGTTCATCCCTGCGGATAGCAAAAAAAAGTGATAAAAAAAGAAACAGAGAAAAAAAATTTTAAAGCACCACTGTGCTCAAGCGCAAAAGCACGTCAGTCCCCCGCATACACATGTAAACGGCGATCACACCACACGTGTGCAATATCTCCGCAAACGTCAGAGCAAGAGCAATAATTCTAACTCTAAACTGGTAACCCATAAAGACTTTTAAAGTGTCACCTATGGAGATTCTCAGGTACCATCGTTTGGCATCATTCCATGGGCATACGTACTTTTAAAGTGTGACATGTTTGGTATCTATTTACTTGGCATCTTTTATATACAAATTGGGTAACATATTGGGTTTTTGTGCATTAAAATTCATTATAGTATGTAAAAAAAAACAAAAAAAACTTAAAATTGCGTTTGAAATGTCAAATAATCAGATCATAAAAACCTGAAACACCCATCATTTTATTCTCTAGGGCCTCTGCTTAAAAAATATATATAATGTTTGGAAGTTCTAAATCATTTTCTAGCAAAAAAAAAAAAAAGGCTGATTTTTACATGCGGTAGTATAGGCTGACATCTAGCGGTTATAAAACAGTATTGCATGGTAAAAACAAATTCTGCTTCTAATCATTTCATTTTCAATCATACTGTATGAAAAAATTATTATTAATATATATATATATATATAAAAATTTGAAACACAAATGTTTGTTGTTTTTCCTGCGTTCTTACCAGCGGATGTTTGAGACCAATCATATTCTTTCCCTTCCATTTGGTTTCAAACATTTCAGCGAAATATGGGCTTCGAGCACCAAGGACGCAGCGGTGAGCACAGAATGACATCCCATGGACCAGGAACATGGTGTCACTATAGGAGCCCTGCTCCAAAAACCTGAAGAGACAGAGAAAACCCCGATTTGCATCCTAATTCAGATGTCTGGGGAAATACCTATTGTTTAATTTAAGTGGAACAGCAGTATTCCAATATTGCCAGCAAGCACATTCTAGAATCACCGAGTTACTGGCAAAAAGGGACTAGAGGGGGATCGGTACAGATGTAGCGGGATGAAAAAACTGAACCCTTGACTTCTGTGCTGCCTAAATACAGTTCAAGGTTTCCTATTTTAAAATGTTACTAAGCCCAGGACCAGCAGAGCTCTGGTTAAAGCTTGTAGTTTTCATTCTGCTCTAGAAGAATGCAAAATCCTTGACCTGTCTGGATAGTGCCGATAGGCCCTGTGCTGATCACATGCAGTCTCCCAAGAAAAAAAACCCCTCCCTAGCAATACACACCAAAGAGAGCATGTGCAGTGTGCCTCCTAGGGCTCTATCAGCAAATGGATTGGGGACAGTAGAAGGGGAGGATCAGAGAAGACAGGATCAAACAGCCTTTTTACACAATGCAGATGATTAACCCCTTTGGTTCCACAGTGAGTATAACAAGCATGCGCTACTGCATATACAGACTGATTGTACTGTTGGGGGTTTAGTAACATTTAAATTAAAGTGTACATTCTGGCTCGGGCTTACCTGCTGCAGCTACAGGATGGAGCGCAATGTGAATGCGCACAGAACAGCCCAAAGTGCTGGAGAGTGTGAAATGTTAGTGTCAAGCTTATACTGCAAACAGAGAGTGATCGAGGTGTGAAGAGGCCCCCCCCCCCCCCCAGCTGCATGTGTAATGGGAACAGGCGAAACATTTGAAGCAAAAAAAAAAAAAAAAAGGAGGAGCTCTGGTACTGTATGTTCTATTCATGGAATTGCGTAGGGAGCTTTTGGGAAAATAATGCTGAAGGTGACGCTACACGTGAGGTGTACCATATATAACATGCAGACTGCAACATTTTTAGAACAATTGATTTCATTGATCATTTATGGCTTTACTTTCAATCAGATTGCTGGTCCCATGCTCGGCATACCTCTGCAAGAAGTCGTCATAATAATCTCTCTGCATACACTTTGCTGTGATTCGCTTGTATTCTTTTAGCAATCTGCGGATGGTGTCACTAAGCGCACCGTACAAACATCGCTCCCCATCAAATGTGTTCGCCTCACACCGGGCACCTGAAAAACAAATAAACACTCGCACTAGAATAATACTTCCGAGATAAAATGTTATTTAGGGCCCGTAAAGCCACAGCCATTTAATGGATGAACCCATCTTCTCTTACCATAGCTCGGTGGAAATCAGAAGATCATCCCCATGTAAAAGTAAAAAAAAAAAGTCCCACGAAAATGTTTAAACTTCTACTTATTCCCCCATGGGCCAAAGTGCATTCACATTTATTTCTGTTAAGATCTCTCCTACAGTTGGTAAGCAGCGCGGTTGAACAGTTTGTCCTTGCTGCTCTCCCACCACGCTGCTCGCAAGGAGATGGAATTATGGGTGATAAGGATCACGCAAGCTGTGTGTCCATGGGTGACGGCTTGTAAACACACACACAGCCCCGGAAGATGGATCACACAGCTCTGCAGTGATGTTCTACTGTAATGAATGAACAGGCAGCACTGCAGGACCATGTCCCAACCCAGACATTGGTGAAAGTTCGTTCATAACACTAAAATATCAATCGGCACTGTGGGCCTGTGTAATCCATCTGCCAGGGCTGTGTGTGTTTGCAAGCAGCCACATAGCCAGGCAGCGCGGAACGATCTTTTCACCTTTATGAACATAAATTGGGCTTCAGACTGGGGTGGAGCTGTAATGAGTGATGTACTACTATTAAAAAATGTATAGGCAGCCTTGCAGGACCATGTCCCCACCCCATCCATCTGCCAGGGCTGTGTGTGTTTGCAAGCAGCCACATAGCCAGGCAGCGCGGAACGATCTTTTCACCTTTATGAACATAAATTGGGCTTCAGACTGGGGTGGAGCTGTAATGAGTGATGTGCTACTATTAAAAAATGTATAGGCAGCCTTGCAGGACCATGTCCCCGCCCCATCTATCTGCCAGGGCTGTGTGTGTTTGCAAGCAGCCACATAGCCAGGCAGCGCGGAACGATCTTTTCACCTTTATGAACATAAATTGGGCTTCAGATTGGGGTGGAGCTGTACTGAGTGATGTGTTACTATTAACAATGTATAGGCAGCCTTGGAGGACCATGTCCCAGCCCCAACATCACCAATAGATCATTCAAGAGAGTAAACCATCACTCAGCCCTGCAGAGCTGTGCAATCCATCTGCCAGGGCTGTGCGCATTTACAAGCAACCGCACATAGACACAGCCCGACAGCCCTGAATGATCTTTTACCATTATGATCATAAATTGGGCTTCTGATTGGGGTGGACCTAGAGCCATCATTAACATAAATAGATTAACCCCTGATGAAGTCACATGATGAAGTGACAACGCGTAGGGAGGATCCAATGATGTCATGCCGCAAACTGAAAAGGGAGAGTTCAGGTATCTTGTTAGTGACCAAAGTCAATGTACCTTAAGGTGAACACAGCCTTGTAATCTGCAGTGTACCAGAAAGTGTGCACATTTTATGGTGAGTGTGGTTTTAATCTTTTTTAAAGGTGGTGTAGCAAAGAGCGCTATGATTGTTTTTGAGCTCTTTTTGAGCTATTGGATGCAATTCATTTATTGTAGGAGGATGGATGTGGATTGAGATTCCTGGAAACTGCAGAGAGGATTACCAGTCATGGTTATTCTGACCCCGGTTTAAAGGGAAAGGCACAACAGACCTAATATTTTTTAGGTCATACAAAAGAAGGTGAAGGCATCTGATTGATGTTCTGGGATATGCATGAAGTGATTGCAAGGAAACGAACTCTCTTGCGCTCTATGACCCAACCAGGGGTAGACAGATGAAACCAGAACTTGAAAGATTCTACCACCAGTGAATATGGGTTTGTGCAGCTCCAAACAAGGCTGGGGAAGCCCGACCAATGCTGTGAAGCGAAAACAAACAAAAAGCGCACAAACCTTGCGCATTACCTCAGTAAACCAAAATTTATTAGATACAGAATAATACTCACAAACAATGAAGAATATCAAGCATGTAAGTCCTCAAGGGGACTAAGGATTTAAGCAGCCTGCTCGAGTCCCATCATAAGAGTGGTCACTCAGGGAAAAGATGACGCGTTTCGAAGGGCATCCCTTCTTCATCAGAGCTCTGATGGGACTCGCATAGGCTGCTTGAATCCTTTGTCCCCTTGAGGACTTACATGCTTGATATTCTTCATTGTTTGTGAGTATTATTCTGTAGCTAATAAATTTTGGTTTACTGGAGGTAATGCGCAAGGTTTGTGTGCTTTTTGTTTGTTTTCGCTCTGAAGTGATTGCAAGTTTGAGAGCACATAATTATAACGCCTGAATACTGTGAGTGAACATATGAAAGGACACCGAGACACATATGGGGGATAGCTAATATTGATAAATACAAGTTATCCACATCAATTTTATATGATTGTTTTAGGTTATTGACGAACACAATATTATGATTTTGCACGTAGGGTAAGTATTGTTTTCTGAACTTGATAAATAAAGAGGTGCTATTAATCTGCATTGAGGTCACCGGCCAGAATGGGATCAGTGCCATATACAACACACACACACAACGTTGAAATGTGTTTTTATTACAAAATATATGAAAAATATTTTTAAAAATACATTTCAAATATACTGTGGGTCTTTCAAATACAAATCTACCCTGCTATATGTCATGTCATATTGCATCCCTGGCCATGTGGGATCTCCTGCATGGTGGGGGTTGGGGAAAGACCTGGCAGCCTACCCTGTAAAAAATAATTGCTAAGAGAATTCATGGAAAAAGGTCGCTTACGAGCGACGGTCCATGCAATCGCCAAGGGTCGGATACGACTGAATGGATAGAGATATCTATCTATCTATCTATATATATATATATATATATATATACTTTATATTTATATTTCATATAATATATCATATTGACTTTGCACTTTATTTTCACTATAATTTCATTCACTCATTTTAGCGCTGCACTTTCTATATATTTATTCAAATGCAATCAATTGCCCAATTCTTTGGTAAAATGTAAAGGATGAGGTTGTACCAAGTAAATAGATACCCAACATATCAAACCTTAAATTTGCATTCGTCTGTGAAATGATGACAAAGTTCAGTACCCTACATTTACTATAGCTGAAGCTTTAAAAGCCCCATATAGATCATCAATTTATCATTACGAAGGAGTTCTGGTGATACCGCTAAGGCTTTTTTCATCTGACAGGCTGAGGTTGGCTTGTCATATATACGCACTCCCCATGGCTGCAGAGGGTAAAAACCCTCCACTGTCAGATCCATATGACATATGGACCAGGCAGAGCAAGGGTTAAAAGTCTTTACTGTTCTTTAGTTTAGAGTTAACTCTGAGCTATGGTGCTAAAAGGATTGCTCTCAACCCTAGGTTATCAGCGATACCTCACTCATGCCGTGCAATTGTGTTCTACATACACGTGTGCACGTTTGCATTTGTGGGTGAGTGCAGGCCAATGGAGTTCCATTTTTGTTACATTTTTTTTTTTTTTTTTTTTTTTACTTTATTATAATTATTTTTTAATGAACTTATTGTTTTAAATTCCCATTTTTTTGCAGGTTATAAAAAATTATTAAATAATAAATTCCCCTTTTTTGCATTAAAAAAAATTAATAATAAATTCCCTTTTTTGCACGTTAGAATAATAAATAAATTCCCTTTTTTTGCATGTTAAATCAAATTAATAATAAATTCCTTTTTTGCAGGTTAGAAAAATTAATAATAAATAATAAATTCCTATTTTTTTTGCAGGTAAAAAAAAGTGCATTTGTTTTTTTCGAGCCTGGAAAGCATTGCACCCGCAAATCACTGGTGCTATGCAGGACTCCGGCAAACCGTCAAGAGTATCTATGTGCCCGTACATCTTGTAAGGCAAGCAGATAGAGCCATGAAGACTCAATGAACTACTACTGCTACTGTTGATTGAGAACTACAAGACGACAGCTGTAAAGGATGTCGGCACATGTAGTTCATTCGTTCACAGCACTCTGGGGGCGGAGCCCCACATGGCCAAGCCAGTTTCAAAAATTAACAGCTACATCGGATGTCAAATGGTGAAAGCCTATTCATAAAAACAATGGATACAGAGTCGGACCCGACTATACACTGACAGCCAGTTCTGCGATCCCCTCCCCCGGAGGAGAGGAGCAGTGGGGGGCAGGAAGTATTCTATGCAGAGCTAACCAGACGCTCTGCACAGCAAGCACAAAGCCGGTTCAAACCACATGGGTGACAACTCTTCTGAAATGAGTATCAAAATGAAGTTGCTCGCTGTGGACAGAAATGACAAGGAGGGAATATTTGTTCTCAACAAAAGTGAAGTTACAGTCAGGTCCATAAATATTGGGACATCGACACAATTCTAACATTTTTGGCTCTATACACCACCACAATGGATTTGAAATGAAACGAACAAGATGTGCTTTAACTGCAGACTGTCAGCTTTAATTTGAGGGTATTTACATCCAAATCAGGTGAACGGTGTAGGAATTACAACAGTTTGCATATGTGCCTCCCACTTGTTAAGGGACCAAAATTAATGGGACAATTGGCTTCTCAGCTGTTCCATGGCCAGGTGTGTGTTATTCCCTCATTACCCCAATTACAGTGAGCAGATAAAAGGTCCAGAGTTCATTTCAAGTGTGCTATTTGCATTTGGAATCTGTTGCTGTCAACTCTCAAGATGAGATCCAAAGAGCTGTCACTGTCAACTATCAGTGATAGCAAGCTGGCCAAAATCAATTAGGCTGAAAAAACGGTGAAGCAAACACTGGAAGACCAGAAAACAGTTGCGAAGAAGTGAAGAGTTGGCCTCAAGAACGCTCTCCAGAGCAGGCCAGATTAGAGTTTCACCAGGGATGACTGCTCATGATCCTAACCCACCTCATCAGTGAAGCATGGTGGTGGTAGTGTCATGGCGCATGTATGGCTGCCAATGGAACTGGTTCTCTTGTATTTATTGATGATGTGACTGCTGACAAATGCAGCTGGTGATGTCTATGCGTTCCAGAAACCCAGCGTCTGGTGATGTCTCACTCCAGACTACAGGCTGTAATTGACTGCAAAGGATTTGCAACCAAGTATTAAAAAGTGAAAGTTTGATTTATGATTATTATTCTGTCCCATTACTTTTGGTCCCTTAACAAGTGGGAGGCACATATGCACACTGTTGTAATTCCTACACCGTTCACCTGATTTGGATGTAAATACCCTCACAAATTAAAGCTGACAGTCTGCAGTTAAAGCACATCTTGTTCGTTTCATTTCAAATCCATTGTGGTGGTGTATAGAGCCAAAAAATGTTAGAATTGTGTCGATGTCCCAATATTTATGGACCTGACTGTATCTTACAGCTCTGAATGATTTTTATGTATCAGAATAGAAACACTTTACTACACAGCACTTCAGGTGGGCGTTACCATTTCTATCTGATTCACATCTATGCATGTTGCGGTTGATGCGTTTTTATAGCGCGTTTTGGAACATGCTTTTTGATGCTTTAATGCATTTTGTGGGGGAGGGGGTTTGCCAACAGGAAAGTATGACAGTTCCCTTCATGTAGTGTGACTTTGATGCAACTTTCATACGACTTTACACTCTCTGGTACTTAAGTCGAATCAAAGTCACATCAAAGTAGAGCAGGAACCTTTGTGTGTCCAAAGTCGCATGTTAGGTTAAGACCCTAACCCCCAGTTCACACCTACAGTTGTGCTCAAAAGTTTGCATACCCTGGCAGAAATTGTGAAATTTTGGAATTGATAATGAAAATATGACTGATCATGCCAAAAAATGCTCTTTTATTCAAGGATAATGATCATATGAAGCCATTTATTATCAAATAGTTGTTTGGCTCCATTTTAAATCATAATGATAACAGAAATCACCCAAATGGCCCGGATCAAAAGTTTCCCTCCCCTGGAATGTTTGGCCTTGGTACAGACACACAAGGTGACACACACAGGTTAAAAATGCCAATTAGAGGTTAATGTCCCACATCTGTGGCTTTTTCAATGGCAATTAGTGTCAGCGTATAAATAGTCAATGAGTTTGTTAGCTCTTACATGGAAGCACTTACTAGATACTGAGCCATGGGGATCAGAAAAGAACTGTCAAAAGTCCTGCGTAACAAGGTAATTGAAAATGACATAAAAAAAATGTCCAAACACTTGAATATGCCAAACATTCCAGGGTATGTAAACTTTTGATCCGGGCCATTTGGGTGAATGCTGTTATCATTAGGAATTAAAAAGGAGCCAATCAACTATTTGATAATAAATGGCTTCATATGATCATCATCCTTCAATAAAAGAGCATTTTTTGGCACGATCAGTCATATTTACAATATCAATGCCAAAATTTCACAATTTCTGCCAGGTTATGTAAACTTTTGAGCACAACTGTATGCGGCCGTGTGGGCCGCGTTTTGTTCAGGCACGAGAGCCTATTCATGTGAATGGACTCCCGTGCCCGTGACACGCAGGGAAGAAGTCCCTGCACTACTCTGGAAAACACAGCCCGCATAGGAACCTCGGTTCCCAGTACGGTTGCGTTTCCCAGCGGGCGGGCGGCGTGCCATTAGAACTAATGGCACCCGACCACAGGTCCGCAATTCTCTGTGCGGGTGGTGCGGCTGCATGGATTTTTGTGTGGATCCGCAGCGGCACCACCCGCACAGATGTGAACCGGGGGTTAACCCTAGCCCTTAACCCAACATGTGACTTTGGACACACAAAGGTTCCTGCACTACTTTGATGTGACTTTGATGCTATTTGAGTGCTAGAGAGTGTAAAGTCACATCAAAAGTTGCACAACATGAACAGAACTGTCATACTTTGCTATTAGCCAGAAAAACGCATCAAAGACACAACACTTGAGTTTTTGGTGCTGGTCCACTGAAGTCTATTACATACAAAACACAATCTGCAGCAGGAAAGATAGAAAAAAAAAAAAAAAAGGTCCCTAACCCTTTCCAAAAAATGCACCGGCTCAAAACACACAGATGTGAATTAGATCCATAGGAAAACTATGTTAAATGGACTGTAATGCGTTTCTGCTAAATGTGAAATGCTCTAAAAAACTCAGTATTTCTGTGTGTAGCTCGGTGTAAAGTTTCAGCACCACAAGCGGTAACCCCGAGCTACACTCGGGAATACCCTACGGCGCTGCTCCGGGATCTCTTCTTCACTTACCTTGTCCTGCGCTCCTGCGATGTCCCCCCTGCAGTGTCCCCTGTAATGTCCTCCAGCCGATGCCGGCATCTGTCTTCTGGGTTCCATTCCCTGCGACGTCGGGACGGAACCTGCGGGAATTTCACATACATTTTGTCCCGAGTGCTTTGTCCGGCGCCCTGCCTGCATTATTACTGTTCTTTCTGCCTGGAAACTGAGAAACGTCCATGGCGTCTAAAAAGCGTCCCTTTAGGTCAAAAGCAGTTTTAGACCGGCTAGAGAACAGCGATAGTAAATCAGAACCACTTGCAGAATTGAGTGATAATGATTCGTGGGGAAATTCCTCATCAGACACTGAAAACGATTCTGCGACTTTGCTCAGCGATGTGTGTGTGAACTTGGCGCTCTATTTCACATTTCAGTGTTTTTGGTTTGATTATATTATTGAATTACATTTATTATTATTATATTATTATTTTTTATGGTTATTTATTAAATTATAATTTATGATTTCGTGTTTCAAGTTTTATCATACCCGGGATGTTTACTAGACTCTTGTTCGGACAGATTTCAGTGAGTTATTCCTAAAAATTACAGGCCTACAATAAAAAAAAAAAAAAAAACATATTTCCATGCAAAAAAATGTACCGCTTTGAGCACAGAAATATGGACATAATCAGACCGCTAGGAAGGTTACAGTTTATTCAACTAAGCTTTGGAAATAAAACTGGAATGCGATTGGTTTCTATGCAGAAATTAGCCAAATTTAGCACTCTCCAGCTTTAGTAAACGAACCCCAGAGTGTGTAACCCTTTATCCCAGCAGTGATTGATCAGGGATGGGGAATGCAGTGAGACAAGTGGGGGGAATTTACCAATCAAATCTTTCTTCTGCTTTTATCCCCCTAGTTCCTCCTTCCCTCAACATAATGAAATATTTCTCTTTTCATTCCATACCTTATTTTAAAAACTTAGTCGTCTCAACACTGGGTCTCTGTGTTTTTCGATGCAATGCAAGGCAGATCATGGCTGGTGGGAGGGACGATCAGGGTGTAGTACATAGCTTCTTAAAAACATCACCGCACCCTGCCTCAGTACTCCTCTCAAGAGCCTTCAGCCCTAATATAAGCAGTGGGCTGGATCTTGGGAGGAGTTATGCAAATATCAAAATGCCTTAATGGGTGGACATCAGTCTGGAGCAGTGGGTGTTATTTGTATACAGACCCCCCCTTCCCCCTGTGGTTAACACCTAATGCAATACTGAGCCAACATATCTGAAAGAACTGACTCCCAATAAATGAAAACGGCGGGCCAAGGACAGTCAGGCTGCAGAGGGAAGGGCTAAATCAGGGGTGTCAAACTGGCAGCCCTCCAGCTGTTGAGTAACTACAAGTCTCATCATGCCTCTGCCTTTGGGAGTCATGCTTGTAACTGTCAATCTTGCAATGCCTCATGGGACTTGTAGTTTGGCAACAGCTGGAGGGCTGCCAGTTTGACACCTGTGGGCTAGATGATGCTGGATGTCCTCCAGCCAGAAAAAAAGGGGCAGGCACTGACTTCCTGCATATTCTAATGTGTGCAGTGAAATCAGAGGAAGCAATTTCAGTGCAGGAGAGGAGCCGGTACAACGGAAGGCAACGTCCCCTTACCATTGGCTAAAAGGTACCGCACCAATTCCTCATGTCCACAAAGACAGGCGTAATATCTGAAAGAAAAGTGAAACAAAGCAAGTCAATACCAGGAGCAGCGTTAGGGGCACAGAGCAAAAGGAATGACTTTTATGGCAGAAATGACAGGTTCTCTTGACTGGCTACTCTCCACCCACGGTTACTTTTCCTGCACTCCTCCAGGGCTCTGTCTACCGATCCAGAGCTTCTGGACATTCCGAAATCATTTGGGTATGGGGGAGGGGTGGGCAACCTGTGGCTCTCTAGCTGTTGTGGAACTACATTTCCCACGAGGCATTGCAAAGATTACAAAAGTGACAGTTACAGCTATGACTTGCAGAGGCATGATGGAACTTGTAGTCCTGTGGCTCTCGGGTTGCCTATCCCTGGATGGGGGAACATGTGATCTCTTGCCATTCCTCCCAAGATGCAGTGCTGGGACTTGAGTGACCAATCCCAAATCCTGTCATGTGTAGAAGGGGATTAGATCATCAGACACGTGTAAGCTCTGATCCAGAGCTTACACAGGGTTACATTTTTTTTTTGGGGGGGGGGGGAGCAGTGCAGGGAAAAGGTATGATTGGGTGGTGAGGAGGGGTGGCCCATCAAGAGAACCTGTAACTTTTTTCCATTAGCATTCTTTAACCACTTTAATACCGGGCACTTGCAACTCCTTCCTGCCCAGGCCAACTTTCAGCCGTCAGCGCTGTTGCACTTTGAATGACTATTGTGCAGTCATGCAACACTGTACCCAAATGAAATTTTTACCTTTTTTGAAACAGAGCTTTATTTTGGTAGTATTTCATCACCACTGTTTTTTTTTTTGCAAAACAAAAAAAAAACGGGGAAAAAAAAAAAAGATCGAAAATTTAGTTTATTTTAGTTTACTTAGTTTATTTTCAAAGTTTTTGCAGATAAGTAATTTTTCTTCTTTACTGGGCTATGCTGATGAGGAGGCAGTGATGGGCACTGATGAGAGGCAGCGATGAGGATGCACTGATGAGGAGGTAGTGATGGGCACAGATGAAAGGCAGTGATGAGGAGGCAGTGATGAGGAGGCAGTGGGGGTGCACTGATGGGGAGGCAGTGACGGAGGCAGTGGGGTGCACTGACGGGGAGGCAGTGACGGGGGTGCACTGACAGGGGTGCACTGAGGGGGGTGCACTGACGGGGAGGCACTGACGGGGGAGGCACTGACGGGGGTGCACTGACGGGGGTGCACTGACGGGGAGGCAGTGACGGGGGTGCACTGACGAGGAGGCAGTGACTGGGGGGTGCACTGACGAGGAGGCAGTGACGGGGGTGCACTGACGAGGAGGCAGTGACGGGGGTGCACTGACGAGGAGGCAGTGACGGGGGGTGCACTGACGAGGAGGCAGTGACGGGGGTGCACTGACGAGGAGGCAGTGACGGGGGTGCACTGACGAGGAGGCAGTGACGGGGGTGCACTGACGAGGAGGCAGTGACGGGGGGTGCACTGACGAGGAGGCAGTGACGGGGGTGCACTGACGAGGAGGCAGTGACGGGGGTGCACTGATGGGGCTGACTGACGAAGGCAGTGACGGGAATGCACTGATGAGGAGGCACTGATAAGGAGGCAGTGGCGAGGATGCACTGATGAGGAGGCAGTGATGGGGTGATGGGGATGCACTGATGAGGAGGCAGTGATGGGGATGCACTGATGAGGAGGCAGTGATGGGGATGCACTGATGAGGAGGCAGTGATGGGGATGCACTGATGAGGAGGCAGTGATGGGGATGCACTGATGCACTGATGAGGAGGCAGTGATGGGGATGCACTGATGAGGAGGCAGTGATAGGAGGAGGCAGTGGCGATGGGGATGCACTGATGAGGAGGCACAGTGACGAGAAGGCAGAGAGGAGGCAGGGAATGCACTGATGGGATGCACTGATGAGGAGGCAGTGATGGGGATGCACTTTTTTTTTTTTTAGCAAAAAAATAAATACTCAGTGTCACCCTAGCAGTACAGTGTAACCATAGTGACACTAATACTTGTGAGGGGTGATGATGATCCATCATCCACAGAATAATAATCCCAGTGGCTGAGGAGATATGGGCACCCATATCTCCTTTTTTTTTTTTTTTTTACATACTGTCACCCTAGCAGTACAGTGTCACCATGGTGACACTGTACTACTTGTGGGGGGTGATGGAGTTTTTTTTTTTTTTTTTATTTTATTTACACTGTTGCTTTTACACCCATAAAGGCTGTAAAAGCAATAAATGACAAACGCCAAAAATTTTGAAAAAAGTGTTTTACTTAAAACATTTTGCAAATAATATCTTCATAAATCTTAGCCAAAATTTATTCAGTTATCTTTTTTTAAGATAACCCAAATTAGTTTAGAACTAAGATTTAAATTTTTTTACATTTTTATTTATGTTTTTTTTTAACATACTGTCACCTTAGCAGTACAGTGTCAGTGTACTACTTGTGGGGGGTGTTTTTTTTTTCTTCTCTCTTTACACTGATTGCTTTTACACCCATAAAGACTGTAAAAGCAATATTTTTTCCTTCTCTCTGGCTGCATTCTTGCAGCCATTGAGAAATACTGTGAGAGCTGTGATTGGTTTGTTGATTGTTGTGAATAGCCTTGTACCATGTGACCTCTGTGATCATTCACAGATTTCACACGTAGTAAGCAATGATGTCAGAAGTCACATCTTGCTTACTACTCTTCATGTGGTCACCGATTGGCCAATCAGTGATCACATGATCGGGACCTAACACAGAGGTCCCGTAGAACGATCGGTGTTCTGCTGTGTCCAGAGGATACCTACAATGGAGTACTGTCCCACTTGTCCCGGACGTTCAGTTCCACGTCTCTCTGCTCCACAAGGTATCTGCAGACAGAAGGAGAGAACATTAGGGTCACAGAGAAGGCCAGAGGGGAGGCAGATCCAGTATGGGGGGGCAGGCGGTGTCACCATCGGGGGGGGGGGGGGTACTATGTCAGTGGCTGCCTCCGATCACACTCTGGATGGCGGGAAGAAGAGGAACACGCTGATCACCACGACCTGATAACCCACACGGAGGAAAAATATATTTACAATATATTTAGAAAAAACAATTATAGATGCAACATATTTTTGAAATATACTGAATATGGCCAAAATTGTTGTATTTCAAATATATGTCAATATATTTGGGAAGAATATTTTTAAAATATATTTTTCTTCCTCGTGGGAATGGACAGCATAACCCAGAGAGAAGAGCATCATGGGGGATGTAGGCCGGCAGCATGACACCGACCTGGAGTCACCTATTACCGTCCCATGTCACCCCCAGGAACCCCCCTCAGTGCAGCGTCACCCCTCAGGAACCCCCCTCAGTGCGGCGTCACCCCCCAGGAACCCCCCTCAGTGCGGCGTCACCCCCCAGGAATCCCCCTCAGTGCGGCGTCACCCCCAGGAATCCCCCTCAGTGCGGCGTCACCCCCAGGAATCCCCTCAGTGTGGCGTCACCGCCAGGAAATATATTTACAATATATTTAGAAAAAAAAATGATAGATGTGATATATATTTTTGAAGTATATTGAATACAGCCAAAATTGTCGTATTTCAAATATATGTCAATAAATTTGGGAAGAATATTTTTAAAATATATTTTTCTTCCACGTGGGAAAGGACAGCATAACCCAGAGAGAAGAGCATCATGGGGGATGTAGGCCGGCAGCATGACACCGACCTGGAGTCACCCGACTACTACCATCCCATGTGACCCAACGACAGAGATCCCAACCATTGTCCCTGCAGGTCACCTCTGGTCCCCAGTCTGCTAGAAGGTTCTGCTATTACCCTGGAACTATGGTGTCATCCCCGGGAAACCGGCTGACCCTTCACAGAGGTCATTATCCAGGGAGATGGGAGCCCAGCGATTGCCCCAGAGAGACTCCCCTGCAAACATTGGGCAACGCACAGCAAACGCCCCCCAAAGGAGGTTCCCGTATTAGCAGTGCGGGGTCAGTCCTGGTAATTGACCCCCTCCCCCATCCCCCGAGTCCAAGTGCAGAGTCAGGCCCAGAAATAGTCTTCTCTAATGTGTCAGGGCGCAGCGCCCCCTACTGAAGTATACTCATTACCGGCCTAAGTAATTGCCCCAACCTGAAATTTATTGCCCAGAGACACCCAAGGAGGGGAGGTGCCGGAAAACCTTCCAACCCCCCAATGGTTGGTCTAGTGTGGCAGCTCTATGCATCATTCTAGTAGGAGCTTCAATAATTCCTCACTGTGGCATCACCCCCCCCCCCCCCCCCAGGAATCCCCCCACAGTGTGGCGTCACCCCCCCCCGTGATTGTCCCCAGTGTCGTCACCCCCCCCCCCCCCAGGAATCCCCCCACAGTGTGGCGTCACCCCCCCTCCGTGATTGTCCCCAGTGTGGCGTCACCCCCCACCAGGAATCCCCCCCACAGTGTGGCGTCACCTCCCCACCAGGGATCCCCCCACAGTGTGGCGTCACCTCCCCACCAGGGATCCCCCCACAGTGTGGCGTCACCCCCCCACCAGGAATCCCCCCACAGTGTGGCGTCACCTCCCCACCAGGGATCCCCCCACAGTGTGGCGTCACCCTCCCCCACCAGGGATCCCCCCACAGGGCGTCACCTCCCCACAGGGATCCCCCCACAGTGTGGCGTCACCCCCACCAGGGATCCCCCCCCACAGTGTGGCGTCACCCCCACCAGGGATCCCCCCACAGTGTGGCGTCACCCCACCAGGGATCCCCCCACAGTGTGGCGTCACCCCACCAGGGATCCCCCACAGTGTGGCGTCACCCCCACCAGGGATCCCCCCACAGTGTGGCGTCACCCCCACCAGGGATCCCCCCACAGTGTGGCGTCACCCCCACCAGGGATCCCCCCACAGTGTGGCGTCACCCCCACCAGGGATCCCCCCACAGTGTGGCGTCACCCCCACCAGGGATCCCCCCACAGTGTGGCGTCACCCCCACCAGGGATCCCCCCACAGTGATGCGTCACCCCCACCAGGGATCCCCCCACAGGCGTCACCCGCCAGGGATCCCCCCATAGTGATGCGTCACCCGCCAGGAATCCCCCACAGTGTGGCATCACACCCACCAGGGATCCCCCCACAGTGATGCGTCACCCGCCAGGAATCCCCCATAGTGATGCGTCACCCGCCAGGAATCCCCCATAGTGATGCGTCACCCGCCAGGAATCCCCCATAGTGTGGCATCACCCCCAGTAATCACCCCAAGTGTGGGGTCACCCCCCCCCCCATAATCCCATTAGTGTGGGGTCACGCCCTCCGTAATGCTCTCAGTTTGGTGTCATCCCCCCCCCCAGTAATGCCCTCAGTTTGGTGTCACCCCCTGGAATCCCCCTCAGTTTGGTGTCACCCCCTGGAATCCCCCTCAGTTTGGTGTCATCCCCCCCAGTAATGTATTCAGTTTGGTGTCACCCTCCCCCCGGTGAGTCAGCTCTCTCTCCTCCAGCAGCCGCCCCTCCCCCCGCTCACCGCACACGGTAGATGTCGCCCTTCCTGCAGCTGCTGAACAGGTCGCTGGTGTCCATCGGCCCGGGCCCGGCGCTGGGCGGAGCGAGCGGCTCATTGACCCGGCGGGTTCGGGGCGCAGCGAGCGGAAGCACCGGGAGAGGGCGGGGCGGGCGAAGGAGACACACCGAGCGAACAGACACCGAACAGCTGACTGCGGAGATCCCCGCCCCCTGTCTACACCAAACACACACAGCCCCTCCCCTAAACAACCCATCACACACGTAACCACGCCCAGTCGTCTATGCCGAACAACCCCCATCCAATAGAAACACATACATCCCCGCCTCGTCCAATACAAACACGCCGCTCTCCTCGCAGCCTCGCCCCTCCCAATACAAACTGTCCAATCTCCGCGCTACCTGCGCACGCCGCTCACCGCACAACCCCGCCCCCTGTCCAACATCAACACGTCGATCCGCCCACAACCCCATACCACCAGCACTTGAGATCAGCCTAGACCCCTCCCACAGGGCCCTCAACACGCCCCCCACACTGGAGATATCCAGATATGTACAGATAAGGCCCCGCCCCTTTCCTTGTGACTTCTGAAATGTAAACAAGACGGGCTGTCTGTTCTGCGCTGTGTATGACAGCTCCGAGGTCACATGGCACGGATCACCCTGTACATTCCACCCCATAGAGAGGTGTACACACCACGGGGAGCCAACCAACATGTCCCTCCAAGGTCACCCTTGTAGGAAGGTGTTATGATAGATCCTCACCTGCTTCTGCCCTGTAGGTGCGGAGACTACCTATGGCCAGGGACCTAATCAGCATGCTTTTTTTTTAACCTTCTCACTACCAGACCTGTTTTTGCATTTTTTTCCTTGCACAGGAAAATCATTTTAGGCTGCTGACCCCCCCCCCCCCCCCTCCCCCCCCCAACACGTTTTCTGAAAGCAGAGACCTTAAAGGGTACAAATGTACAAAGGGTACATTTTAGGGTACAAAAACACAATATATTACCCAATTTTTTAGGAAAATGTAAAAGATGAGGTTGTACCGAGTAAATAGATATCCAACATGTCAAGATTTGAAAACTGAATGTGCCTGTCGAGGGGAGACAAACTTCGGTAACCTATATCTTTCATAGGTAGCGCTTTAAAATACCCTACAGGTCATCAGCTGAGAGTTTATTGTCAGTCTAGGTTCACACCTATGTGTTTTCCGTTGCGTTTTGGGGAAACGCACAGCGGTCAATTTAACATGATTTCTTGTAAAACGCAAAGTTTTGCATTTAAAAAAGTCTCTGACCCTTTCCAAAATAAAGCACCGGGTGAAAATGTGGAGATGTGAATGTGTCACTCCCTGTGCAGGCACCGGGGAGAACATGCAAACTCCAGGCAGCTGGTGCCGTACATTATTATTATACAGGATTTATATAGCGCCAACAGTTTGCTCAGCGCTTTACAATATAACGGGAGACAATACAGCAACAATACAGTTCAATACAAGCGGGATAGGAGGGCCTGATCCTTGGAGCTTACAATCTAGGAGGGAGGGGCTAGTGGTACAAAAGGTAGTAACTGTGGGGGATAGACTGGTTGGAAGAGTAGAAGATTCCATTATTAGCTGAGGGCAGGATAGGCTTCCCTGAAGAGATAGGTTTTCAGAGATCGCCTAAAAGTGAGCAGAGTAGGCGATAGTCTGATAGATTGGGGTAGAGAGTTCCAGAGGATGGGGGAAGCTCTGGAGAAGTCCTGGAAATGAGCATGGGAGGAGGAGACAAGGGAGCTAGAGAGCAGGAAGTCGTGCGAGGAGCGGAGAGTACGGTTTGGGTGATATTTAGAGACAAGATCGGTGATGTAATTTGGGGCAGAGTTATAAATGGCTTTATATGTTATTGTTAATGTTTTGAATTGTATTCGTTGGACAATGGGAAGCCAGTGGAGGGATTGGTAGAGAGGGGTGGAGGACACTGAATGGAGGCCAGTGGAGGGATTGGCAGAGAGGGGTGGAGGACACTGAGTGGAGGCCAGTGGAGGGATTGGCAAAGAGGGGTGGGGGACACTGAGTGGAGGCCAGTGGAGGGATTGGCAGAGAGGGGTGGGGGACACTGAGTGGAAACCAGTGGAGAGATTGGCAGAGAGGGGTGGGGGACACTGAGTGGAGGCCAGTGGAGGGATTAGCAGAGAGGGGTGGAGGACACTGACTGGAGGCCAGTGGAGGGATTGGCAGAGAGGGGTGGTGGACACTGAATGGAGGCCAGTGGAGGGATTGGCAGAGAGGGGTGGTGGATACTAAATGGAGGCCAGTGGAGGGATTGGCAGAGAGGGGTGGAGGACACTGAATGGAGGCCAGTGGAGGGATTGGCAGAGAGGGGTGGAGGCCAGTGGAGGGATTGGAGCCAGTGGAGGACACTGAGTGGAGGCCAGTGGAGGGAGAGAGGGGGTGGGGGACACTGAGTGGAGGCCAGTGGAGGGATTGGCAGAGAGGGGTGGGGGACACTGAGTGGAAACCAGTGGAGGAATTGGCAGAGAGGGGTGGAGGACACTGACTGGAGGCCAGTGGAGGGATTGGGAGAGAGGGGTGGGGGACACTGAATGGAGGCCAGTGGAGGGATTGGCAGAGAGGGGTGGTGGACACTGAATGGAGGCCAGTGGAGGGATTGGCAGAGAGGGGTGGAGGACAATGAGGAGGGAGTTACAATAGTCAAGGCGAGATCTAACAGGGAGTGGCTTAGTGGTTTCCGAGGTTAGGAATGGACGTATCTTGGAGATATTGCGGAGGTGAAGTCTACAAGATTTGGACAGCGATTGGATTTGGCACTGACAGGACAGATGGGAGTCTAGGATTACACCTAGAAGATGAGGTTGTTGTACCGAGTAAATAGATGTCCAACATGCCAAGATTTGAAAATTGAGTGCGCCTGTCGAGGGGAGACAAACTTCGGTAACCTATATCTTTCATAGGTAGCGCTTTAATAGACCCTACAGGTCATCAGCTCAGAGTTTGTTGTCAGTCTAGGTCAGTGTTTCTCAACTCCAGTCCTCATGGACCCCCAACAGGTCATGTTTTCAGGATTTCCATTATTTTGCACAGGTGATTTGATCAGTTTCACTGCCTTAGTAATTACCACAGCTGTTTCATCTGAGGGAAATCCTGAAAACATGACCTGTTGGGGGTCCATGAGGACTGGAGTTGAGAAACACTGGTTTAGGTTCACACCTATGCGTTTTCCGTTGCGTTTTGCAGAAACGCACAGCAGTCAATTTAACATGATTTCCTGTAACACGCAAAGTTTTGCACTTAAAAAAGTCTCTGACCCTTTCCAAAAAAAAAGCACCGGGTGAAAACGCAGAGATGTTGATCCAAATACTTTGAATCCATTGCAAAAATTTTATACCGGTTGAAAACAAATAAATGAACCAAAACTAAATGAAACAAATTGTTATGAATGCAAAGAAACTAAATGAGTGAGTCAACGAATCAATCCGAAACGAAACAAATGTTTTCATTCTGCACGTGTCTAATCAGTGATAATACTGTACACTGTCACTGCACTGATGACACTGGCTGGGTGACAGGGGTGATCATGAGGGCAATCAAGGGGTTAACTGAGTGCCTTACATGTGTATGTGTGCTGATTGCACCCACTTACCGACCTGGCTGTCATTTCTTCCTGATTTCAGCTCTGAATGGTAAGTGAAACCAGGGAGAAAAAAAAACCCAAAACAGCCAGATCTGGGTTGTGTTTACTAACACACACAGATCTGGGCTGTGATTGGCCACAACAATCAGCAGGTTCACAACCAAAATCATTGGCTGGGAACCTACTGACGAACTTGAGCTGTGTCCAACCATAGCCTGAGCGGCAGGCGGTCGTGCATGCGCACGCGCCTGTAAACCATGAAGCTTCCCCACGACGTACCCGCAGTACGTGATATTTAACCACTTGCCCTCCTGAGAATTTACTCCACTTAATGACCAGGCCTCTTTTTGCTACTCGGCGCTGCACTAATTCAACTGATAATTGCACGGTAATGCAACGCTGCACCCAAACAAAATTTATGTCCTTTTTTCACACAAATAGAGCTTTCTTTCGGTGGTATTTGATCACCTGTGCGCTTTTTATTTTTCACGCTATAAACAAAAAAAGACCAAAAATTTGAAGAAAAACAATATTTTTTACTTTCAGCTATAAAAAATATATAGTAAACTCAAAGTTGGTTATAAATTTAAGCCAAAATGTATTCTGCTCCATGTTTTTGGTAAAAAAAATCTCAAAAAGTGTATATTGATTGCTTTGTGTGACAGTTATAGCGTCTACAAACTATGGTATAAATACTGCAATTTACGCCATTTTTTTGCTATACAGCGCTGCGCTAGTTTAACAGACAATTGCGCGGTCATGCAATACGATACATAAATTAAATTTACATCCTTTCTTTTTCCCACAAATTGAACTTTTTTTCGGTGGTATTTGATCGCCTGTGCGTTTTTTATTTTTTGCGCTATAAAAAAAAGGCTGACAATTTTGAGGAAAAAAAAAACAATATTTTGGACTTTTTGCTATAAAACATGTCCAGTAAAAAAAATTTAAACAAACTTAGTCATAAATTTCTGCCAAAATGTATTCTGCGACATGTCTTTGCTAAAAAAAAAAAAAAACAATACGTGTAAATTAATTGGTTTACGTGAAAGTTATAGCGTTTACAAATAGCGGGAAAGATACTGGGATTTTAAATTTTTTTATACTAATAATGGCGGTGATCAGCGACTTATGGCGGCAATCAGTGACTTATGGCAGGACTGTGGCGGTGACATTCTGACATTGGGGGGTACTGACTTGGGGTCACTGACATCCCCAGTAACACCAATACAGTGATCAGTGCAAAAAAAAAAAAACACTGACACTGTAGTAATGGCACTGGGGAGGAAGGGGTTAACGTTTTTATTTACTGAAAGGGTTAACTGTGTGAGGGGAGTGTTTTACTAGGGGGCGGGGGGTGTACTCCACGGGAACGCGCTGATCCGGAGAGATAAACTCTTCTCTCCGGATCAGCATGTCAGGAGCTGACAGGGGACTGACAAAGCAGAGCTAACCGCAGCCCTGCTCTCTGTCAGTGATTGCCGCTAATCGGCGGGACAAGGACGGTAATGACCCGGTGACTGACACCCGCGGCTGCGATTGGCGGGACAGGTAGGGCGGGCACGCGCCCAAAACCTG